CCTGTATCCCTCCCATCTGCCCTTTCTGCTTGCCCCCCTTCTGTTCGCGCATGCCTCCTGCCTGCTGCGACGTCCTGTTCGTCGATCCGTGCGCTGCGAATCCTGGTCCTGTGCCTGGTCAGGACCTCAGCGAAAACCGCGCGCGTGGTTCTAGTAGATGCATATACAGACACCTGCATGTATATGCGGGCCGATGTCAGTTATTCGGCGTGGCATTTCAAACCGATGATGCACACATTCACCCCGACCTCTGTATCATCACCTCAAGGGTTGTCTAGTAGGTAGAGTTTCTGTTTATTTATGTTTATCGTGCCACGGGTAGGGACGCTCGAGCAGCGCCTCACACTTCAGGTGTGGGCGAATTTTTCAACAGGATGACCAGCTTAATCAACACATGTATGAGTAGAGGGACGAGGAGGAGGACGAGGCAAGAGGCGGAGGTCCATGGGGGAAGGGGGAGGGGTAGAGTGCGGATGGGGGCCACCACGGTTGTGGTCCACTTCCCAACAGAGCAGTGCTCGTCCTGTCCAGAGAAGCAGTGCCGCTTCTCACGCTCGGATGTCAGAAGCTGGGCGACGGCTGGCAAACCCGTGGCTGCTAAAACGGAGCGCTGGGAAGTCGTTTTTTTTCTCCTGGGAAGCAGCCCGTTTGCTATTAGTGCGCTGAGCTTGATTCTGGGAATTTGTTCATTTCTGCCGGGAAGACCGCTTTAGCAGCCACGGATTTGCCAGCCCTCGCCCAGCTTCCAGGGATGCCCGCACGATCTTGTGCAGGAGGCTTGCGCCGTTCCGACGACCCCCCGTGGAAGAACGAGTCCACGGGCGAGGCCTCTTGGAGCCGCTGTGCTTGTGGGGAGGGCCCTTCTCGGGGCTCCCGAGGTCGTCTTGCGGACACCCACGGGTGAGGACTTTCTTCGGGCGAAGAGAACTCTGCACGTGCACCGGTCCTGGCCAGGCCCATCCTTGGCCCCAGGATCGGTGCATGTGCCTTCCCGGCCAAGGCAGGAGGGCGTATGCACCGATCTTGGGCTCAGGATGGACCTGGCCAAAATCGGTGTATGTGCATGGTTCTTTTTCCTCTATGTATGGGGCCTTTGGGGGATCCTTTTGGTGACTTTTCGGGGCCTCTTCGGGGAGCTTCCCGAGGCCTCTTGGGGGCTTCGTGGACGCCTGCTTTTGGTCTTGGGAGCCTCCTTGGGACGGAAGGCTCGAATTGTCACATCGAGTTGCCCTTCTTGAGCTTCTCTTGCAGCCTGGTTGGGGCTCTCTTGGGGCCCCAGAGGTGTGGCCCTCTCAGGTGTTTCTTGGGCTGTATTGGAGGCCCCTTCGGGGCTTCTTGGGCCGTCTTGGAGCGATCTTCGGTGCCTCTCGGAGGCTATCTTGGCAGTCGAGTTGCCATCTTGGTTATTTTCGAGTTCGCCCCGACGTGTTGGAGCCCAGGTCGAGCCAGCTGAGATGCATCTTGGGTTGAAGGCCACGGAGCGTCGATCTCCAGACTTCGGAGGCCCCATGAATGCGTTGAGCAGCCCGGGGCCACTTCCTTCCCGCCTTGATGAGCCCAGGACCACCCCCCATCTAATCGGATGTTCGACCCTGTGGGAGGGCAGATGGGCGCAGCCGATTATCCCCCACGTCTTCTTACCCCTCGCAAGCGGGAGTCGACGGATCACATGTGTGCTTTCAGTCTTGGCAGCATTCGGGTTGTATATCTTGCTCTCCCCTCACTCTTCCCTTTCTCCTTCCATCTGGGCTCGGCGTCGCTTCCAGGCCAAGGTCACCGCACGAGTTCGCTTACGGAGGGCTGGTGCTCGCGAAGCGCTCCAGCTGACCCGGCGATGTTTTTTTCCCCGCACCGTGATGCCGAAGTCATTGCGTTGCCGTCATTTCCGACCACGAAATGGAAGGCACAGAGACATGTCCGTGTGTCGGGATGGCCATGTCGGCGCGTTGGGATGCAGTCAGAGGCTTGGCGGAAGTGCACACACGGGCGACGTGCAGCATGCATCCAGGTTTGCAGGCGTAATGTTGAGTTGTGTGGTGGGAATCGTCGCAGACGTATACGCACATATATATATATACACATGTATCTGTATATAGGTATATTGCACACACATATACATACATACATCCATACATCCATCCATCCATCCATCCATCCATACATACATACATACATACATACATACACATATACATTAGTACACACATACATACATACATACATGCATGCACGCATGCATGCATGCATACATACATACAGACACACATACATACATACACACATACATACATACATACATACATACATGCATTCATACATACATACATACACACATACATACATACATACAATCATACACACATACATACATATATACATACGAACATACATTCATACACATATGCATACATACACACACATACATACATACATACATACATACATACATACATACATACATACATACATACATACATACATACATACAAACATACATACAAACACACATACATACATACATACATACACACATACATACATACATACATACATACACACATACACACCTACAGACATACACACATACACACATATACATACATACACGCATACACACATACATACATACATCCATACACACACGTACATACATACATCCATCCGTCCATCCACCCATCCATCCATCCATCCATTCATACGTACATGCATCCATGCATATATATACATATATATATATATATATATGCATATAGAACTAGGACTACGTAGCGAAACAGTCAGGCAGGATCACTGGTATCATGCTATGTACATAAACAATGCTTGACGCTTTGCGTGTCCTCTCCAGCCCATCCAACGGCAATCGCCATGGGAGTTGCTCTGATCAGGAATGTGTAGCAGCATTCGATGGAACACAAAGAGGCATCCATTATCTTCGGAAAGATAATAAGGATTTCTATGAGCTTGTCTTGAGCTCTTCGGGAACTTCGGAAAGGGGGGTGCTATGAGGGTTTGAAGGGGGGTGGATCGGGGGGCTTAGGGGGTCTCTGGGAGCCTTCTTGGAGGCCTTGAGTGCCCTCTCGGGGCCATCTTCAATGGAATCGAGCAAGCAAAGGAGGCGGCGTAAACGAGACCCCCCCAGTCGGGGCCCGACCAGTTTGCCTCTTGGGGCCCTCTCAGGGCGCTCTTAGGCACTCCTGGGACCGTCTTGAGCCCCTCTTGGGGCCCTCTTGGGGCCCTCTTGGACCCTCGTAGGGCCATCTTGGGGACTCGGGAGCCCATCGGAAGAGAATCGAAGAGAAGAACCACAATGATACATCTTAGGGTTTGCACGGGTGTTTGATTCTCATAGGCCTTCCTGGGGAGCTCGCAGGGCAGACGGAGCCGTCCTGGGGTTGTCTTGAGGGCTCTTGAAGGCATGTTGGAAGCTAACTTGAACCATATTGTGGTATCTTTTTTGGATCTCGGAGGCCATCTTGGGCTTTCTGGGGCCCTCTTGGAGCCACCTGGGGCCATCTTACACGCTTCAACGACCCGCGCCCCCCCTTCCAGACCCAGGGGTAGGGGGTAGTGGGCGTGGGGGACCCCGCCCCCCCCCCCAAAGGGAAACCCGCCTGCGGGCGCTCGCACCCGCAACCGCAGTCAGACGACGATTTTTATCCCGCCCGCGGGCGCGCGCAATCGCAGCCGCAACCAGGCAACACAGTTCAGCCCGCCCGCGGGCGCGCGCAACCGCAGCCACAACCGCAAGCAGGCGACACATTTTGACCCGCCCGCGGGCGCAAGCGCAACCGCAAACCGCAACCGGGCGACACTTCTCAGCCCGGCCGCGGGCGCACGCAGCCGCACCCGAAATCGCCACCGCAATTCCATAGAGGTAGTCGATGGCGCGGCCACCCGCGGAAATCTGGTCTGGGGGGGGGGGGGGCGGGCGGGCAGAAGCAGAAGCCCAAGGGGGATTGTGACGAACCAACAACACACACCCATACCCATAGGGGGGTCGGAAAGGGCTATGGGTGCGTGTTGTCGGATGGGGGTCCCCGCTCGAACGGGAGCGTTCCCCAGGGCCCGACAACCCGCACCCATACCCATAGCCAGTCCTCCTCCCAACGACCCCCTTATGGGTATGGGTGTGTGTTGTTCGTTCGTCAGATGGGGTGCTCGGGCTCTCGCGCGTGAGCAGCCCGTTGAAGGTGGCGCGTGAGCGCCCTACTGTTCCTGCGGTCTGCCGTGCGAGCGGCTCGCGTTGGCCACCGCGCAAGACGGGCAGGGTGGCCAGGAGGAGGAGGAGGAGGAGGAGGAGGAGGAGGAGGAGGAGGAGGAGGAGGAGGAGGAGGAGGAGGAGGAGGAGGAGGATGGGAGGGGGATGCTGGGGTGGACGTGCACTAGAAGGTGTAGGAAAGTGCGACAATGGTGGAATAATACAACTGGCACGATAGGACGTCTGAGGGCCTGGAGTAATTTGGGGGAGGACGCCGAGGAGAAGGAGCAGGAGGAGGAGACGGACGCAAAGGAGGAGGAGGAGGAGGAGGAGGAGGAGGAGGAGGAAGGCAAGTTGGAAGCGGAGGTTCGACGAGGTGAGGGTGATCAGGATGAGGAGGACGAGGAGGAGGAGGATGAGGAGGAGGAGGAGGAGGAGAAGGAGGAGGAGGAGGAGGAGGAGGAGGAGGAGGAGGAGTATGATGATGAGGAGGAGGAAGAGGATGTGGACCTGGAGGTTGAGGTCCTGCTCGCGGCGGTCGGGCGCCGCTCGCGCATCTCCGCCGGGACACTGCAGCGGGCAGTCCCCAGTCCGCGCTGCTGCCTCGGATGGTCAGACGGCGCTCTGGGCTGCGGCCTCGAGCCGCTGTGGCTGCACGACATGGCGCCCCCGGCATGGGGGCCCACGCTGGGCGCGCGAGGGGCGAGTCGGGGAGCCAGCTCGTGGCCGAGGCTCGCCGCGGCCGGGGCAGCCCCGAGTCGATGCTCGCTCTCGGCGCTCCTCGTGGCAGCACGGCGGCTGCAGCCATTGTGGCTCGGGAGTGGAGGCCCGGTGGAGTTTCCGTTGCGCCGCCCCTCCTCGACGGGAGGCATCTCGATATCCACGGCCTCGCGGGCCGGGGAGGCCGGCTGCGGCCCCGGTGGGGTACGGGGCGCACCTCTGCGGATGCTCCGCGCGGGCCCCGTCCACGCGACCGCGCATCCACGGGGCCGCGCCCCCCGGAGTCCAGGCCGCGATGGCGAGGGTGTGGACGTGTCTGCCGCTCGCGAACCCCGCGGCGATGGCCACGGACAGCTGCGCCGGCTGGAGCGGACAGGCCGGCGACCAGGCGACCACGACGCGGCGCAGGTCGCGCACCTCTGGCTGCCGGTCGAAGCGCCACCAGCAGTGCCGGAGGAGGGCCGCGGGCCCGTCCATCCTCTCCTGGAGGCCGGTCGCAGCGGGAGTGCCCGGGCAAGCGCCAGAGGACAGCGCCGTGGACGATGCTTCTGGAGCTCATGGGTAACGTTACAGTCGGGGCCCTGAAGAAGGGCACCCTTTTCCTTGGGGAGGGGCTCCGCGTTCCTTAATCGTTTGACAGCTTGCCTCAGGCTTTCCTTATGTTTTCGACAGGAAATCGCAGGTTAACTCATGGAAAAAAGGTTCCTTATTTTGGGTTCCTTAGGTCAAGGCCCCGACTGTAGGGGAGGGTGGGCAGGCGGCTCGGGGTGATGCCGAGGGCCTTCTCCTGAACCACCATCTGGGGGATCGATCGTCGGAGGTCTTGGCAAGCGGTTCATGTGGACATGCTTGGGCCCTGGGAGGTGGGTATGGATGTGTTCTTACATGCATCTTTATATATATATATATATATATGTTTATGTATATATATGTATGTATGTATATATACACACACCTGTAAATCGATACATCTTCCCAAATCCAACGCTTACCGAGGTCCCCGGAGATCGATCCCCCAGGCGGTGGTAATGGATCAATCCCCTGCCTCGCAGGGATGCGTCACCCCCGAATCGCCCATCGATCGCCGACAGAGGCCCGATGTCCCACCCCGCAGGGGAGCGTGCGGATGCTGCCATCGGGGCGGTACCGCCGATCTATCTGCGGGGACAGCAGACGACCACAGCCACATCGAGGACGCACCCTGTGGGATGTCTTGCGCATGCCCGCAGTCGTCAGAACACCTAGACGAGCTTAGTACTGGCTGTGGTCGATGAGGGTCTCCCGGACGGCCAAATCGACCACATCCACAGCAAGAGTGCTCGTTCGGAGGTCGGTGGGTTCTCCCCTGGGAGGCCCTCCAGTAGTGCCCCCTCTGCTGTGGTTTTGGTTCTGTGTTGCGCCCAGGCTATTGGCGACGTGTCGCCCGTTTCAGCTCGATCGATGCTCCCCCCCCCCCTGAGCTGGTCCACCCCCGACCCTCAGTATCGTTTGACCGACCCCTATCCCCATCCCCACCCCCATCCCGATCCCCACCATCTCGGCACCCCAGTTGGGGATGTACCCTCGAGACCTGCTGGGAACAGCCTATTTCCCCATTTTGGGGGGTAGATCGGCCAGTGGGGCCCAGGCCACGCCCATGGGGATAAGGGGGGTTTCACTATGCTCAGTCGAGCCACGATTCGGGAGGAAATGCCGACGGCCCCCAGGAGTGGGGGTCGAGCTTCCATAGACTCCGTATAAAACAACGAATCTTGGCGTCGGATCTGAGAAGAAAGGTACCGACGTCGCTGCTCGTCCTGGAGGGTCGGTCCAACGATGCATTCGCCCGTCGCCCTGATTTCAGAGTTGGCTTCTTCTGTATGTGTGTTTCGGGGGGCGCCTGGCGCCGCCTCGCGATTGGGCCTGGAGGCATTCCCGTATGGAGAAATACATATAACAATCATGCCACTTTGTGAGCGATTTCTTATATGTCGTTTCGACATTCGGCGGAATGGACAGGGGAGGGGAGGGGGGGTCTGGCTCCGGACCTTTGCATAGGACCTGTTGGCAACAGTGCGCCCCGTGGGGGAGACCCCACCTGCTCGAAACAGGCGCCAGAAACAGCCAGGATCTACTCCATGGGGGGGGGAAGGAGGGGGGAGGCGAGGGCCCAACGCCGATTGGCAGAACAGTGAAAATAACATGGTCCTTTTTCCTTCGGGACCTTTTTCAGCACGGTTATGTTCCAGATAGTCTCTCGTGCCTAACACTGAACCAGGCCTGTCCCTCTACAGGATAGATATTAGAAACCAGTTTTTGTTTCATAGTCAGGGACGGCTTGCGAGTTTATATGTGTATGCAGGCATGTATATTTATATGTGTATGTATGTATGTATGTATGCATGCATGCATGTATGTATGTATGTATGTATGTATGTATGTATGTATGTATGTATGTACGTATTGTTGTATGTATGTATGTATGTATGTATGAATGAATGTATGCATGTATGTATGTTTGTATGAATGTACGTACGTACGTATGCATTGATGTATGCGTGTATGTATGTAATGCAATGTAAAGCAATGTAAAGCAATGTAATGTAATGTAATGTAATGTAATGTAATGTATTGTAATGCAGTGCATTGTCATGTAATGCAATGTAATGTATTATAACATATCATAATATAATGAATACCTGTATGCCTGCATGCATGTACATATGTATGCATGTTTGTATGTATGCATGCATGCGTGCATTTATGCATGCATGTGTGTATGTACGTATGTGTTTGTGCATGTCTGTATGGACTCATGTATACATATATATGTGTATGTGCATATGTATGTATGTATGCATGCATGCATGCATGTATGTATGTATATACGTATGTATGTATGTATGTAAGTCTGTAGGCTGGTATGTATGCATGCATACATGCACGCATGTATGCATGCATGTACGTATGGATGCATATGTGTATGTATGCATGTATGTATGTATGCATGTATGCAAACATGCATGCATGCATGCAGGTATGTATGTCTGCCTGTATGTATGTGTGTATGCATGTATGTATGCATGCATGTATGTATGCTGACATGCATGCATGCGTGCAAGCATGCATGCATGCATGCATGTATGTATATGTGTATGTATGTATGTATGCATAGATCTATGCATGTACATATGTATAGGTATAGTTGCTTCCCTCACTTTCGTCCAACATCAGCCTGCAGGAGGACACGCCCGACCTACGTAACAAACAACTGCCCCTCAGGCGCTGGCCCGGCGCCCCGCGCTGGGCGCGCCGCGGCGGAGCCGCAGCCTCTGGAGCGCCCCGGCGGCCGGGCGGGGCCGCCCGTGGGCCCGACCGCAGGAGCTCCGCGGCCCCGGAACGCCCAGGGGGTGGAGCGCAGCACGCCCCGCGTTCCAAGCTCGTACGAGTGCTCCTCCTCCTCCTCCTCCTCCTCCTGCTCCTACAGCTCCTCCTCCTCCTCCTCCTCCTCCTCTTCCTCCTCCTCCCCCTCCTCCTCCTCCTCCTCCTCCTCCTCCTCCTGCAGCTCCTCCTCCTTCTCCTCCTCCTCCTCCTTTTTCCCGGTCCTCATCTGCTCCACCTCAAGCTCGTCCGCTTCAGAACCCGCCGTGCACGTAAGAGCGACCCTTCGCCAGAGTGACCTATGGTGCGGGCCCAAGACGGGGTCTCCCGATGGCCGAGCGCGATACGGCAGTAGCGTACAGTCGACTGCACGTGCAGACACCCGGTACAGTCGGCCCTGATCAGTAGGTCGACCCTGCCAAATCAAGGGTACCCTTAGGTACCCTTGTGTCCTGTGCCTCGCGACCCATGGCAGTGTGACCCTCGGAAGGGTCTTGTGTCCTCTCGCGTGTCCTGTCCAATCAAGGCCGACTGTATCGTGAGGATGCGCGATCGGGATGCAAGGGCCTTGGGCGCCCATCTCGAAGCGTTTTGAGCGGGGCGCGGCCGGCGAGAGCGGCGAAGGATGGGATCCAAAGGGCACCGTTGGGATGGTTGCCCATCCCTTTTCTTCGCCAGAGGGACCTTTGGGTGCGGGCCCAACGGGGTCCCCCGATGGCCGAAGGCGGTGCGGCAATAGCGTCTTGCGCGCTCGTGTCTGGTCCCCCCGCGCGCCCCCGAATGCCGCGCACAAAAGGGCACCTTTTGCCTAGGGCCACTCTTGCGTGTAGTCGAACTCGGAGGAGGAGACGGTACCTCCACCGCTACCCTGGCCTCGTTTTCCCCTTTTCGGGCCTCCTGGGGGGGCCCTCGTCGACACGGCTGCGTGCGCCTCGAAATATCTGGGTCAGGACACCCCCTGGGAGGGGGCCGCGGAGTAGCGGTATCGGCCCCTTCGGATCTCGCCAGTTCCCCGCTCAAGACGCACCGGGCCGAGAGCTCGACCTGTGAGGCGCTCCTGGGAGGGCCTCGCCCTCGAGGACCGAGGGAGCTACCATCTCCTGTTGGCGGGGGGGCGGCGGCAGGGCGACGGCAGCCCGCGGAAGTGCAGAGCGGGGCCCGCCTCCGCAGCTGCGGAGGCGGGCCGAAGGCCAGCGGAAGAAGCCGGCGGGCACGGCAAGCAGAGCGCCCCCGAGAGATGGCAACTTCTCTTGGGGCTCGGGATTTCCCGGAACCGCTCCTGTGAGCAACACCAGAGAACGGGTTCGACTGCGCCGACATTCGCGAGTAAGCTCCCCGCGTGAGGTCGCGCGTAAGCACACTCGTCTCCAATGTGGCTTGCCGCGCTGGTGGCCCGCGTTAGCCACCGCGTAAGGTCGCTGAGTCATCTCGCGTGAGACTCCTTTTTGATCGTCACTCTTGTGTGGGCCTGTCGGGGCTCAAGAGACGGGGGTCAAGGCAGACGGAGGTCAGTCCGAGCGCCGGACCTTGCAGTATCCTGCAGGGCCAGGGGTGCACATTGACCCGGGGTTGTGCGCAGGATCCTGCAGGATCTTCTGCAGGATCTTCTGCAAGGCCCGACGGACACGGGTTCGCAGTTAGACCCGGTCCAGTGGATCCCCGACCTCGGGTCCTCACGGCGCGTTGGCCGTTGGTCGGACGGGGCTAGGACGAGTATCAATCCGTTCCAGAGCGTTCCGGAACGCTCTCAGAGCCTCCTGGAACGCTCTGAGAAGGCCGCCGCGCGCGAGACACCTGGCAGAACCGCCAACTCCTCCTCCCCCTCCGTTTCGAGTCTACGTGTTGCGCCGCGTGTCCACGCGCTCCGGGTGGCGCGTCGCGTACCAGGGCCGCGGAGCCGAGGAGAGGCCGGCACGGAGCCGCCGAGCGCCGCCGCGGGGTCGGAGGCGGGCGGCCGCGAGCCGCCAGTGGTGGTCGCGAACCCCGCCGTGGATGCCAGGAGCGAGGCGGTCATCGGGCTCGGCCTCGCCAGCGTGATCGCGCAGATGGCGGCCATGGCGGCAGACCACGGGGCGCTGACGCCGTTTCACTGCAAGTTCCCGCCGAGCATCGGCGTCGGCGAGTACCTCGCTCGGCTGTGCCACCACACGCGCTGCAGCTCCGGCTGCCTCGTGGTCAGCCTGCTCTACATCGACAGGCTGATCAAGCGCCACCCGGCGTACGTGGTGGTCAGCCCCTTGAGCTGCCATCGCCTGATGCTCATCAGCATTGCCATAGCGGTCAAGTTCCACGATGACACCTATTACAGCAACGCGTTCTACGCCAAGGCTGGAGGGGTGCAGCTCAAGGAGTTCAATGCCTTGGAGAGGAAATTCCTGCAGCTCATCGAGTGGAACCTGCATGTCGAAGCTAAGGAGTACGACCTCTACGATATGATCCTGCGCTCTGCGGAGAGTGGCGGATAGTAGACCAACTGCTCGGCGTTGACAAGGTGAGAGGATGAGGATGGGGGATGATGATGATGCTGATGATGACGATGATGATGATGGCGATGATGTTGATGATGCTGATGATGCTGAGGATGATGATGTTGATGCTGCTGCTGATGATGATGGTGATGATGGTGATGATGATGATGATGATGATGATGACGACGATGACGATGACGATGACGATTCCGATGATGAGGAGGAGGAGGAGGCGGCGGAGGAGGAGGAGGAGGAGGAGGAGGAGAAGGAGTCGCAGGGGGATCGGGATGAGGCAGGGGAGCCGTTCTCCCTGGAACCGTTCTGGGGTGATAGTTGGAACCTGAAACGGGTGATTTTCCATCTGGGGCGCTCTCGGGAACCTAATGGGCTGCCTCTCTGGGATAAAGTTGGGCGTTGTAGCCGAGCCCCCAAACTTGACAGTTTCCTCCATGAGAACTCTTATCGGGAGCTTTTTTCTTGCGGCTGGGCCCCCCCCGCCCAGTGTCAGGAGCGCCTAGATGGATTCTCACCCCGGAACCGTTCCAGGGTGAAAAATCCATCTGGGACCCCCTCCTCAATGCAAGAAGGCACTCTCGGGGATAAGTGGAGGCGAGAGGATTGCTCCCCGGTGAAAGGGTTGGTTCCCCGGTAAGTGGGATGGTTCCATTGTGGAAGTTGAAAAAGCTGCCAAGGATTCGTTCCCCGGCAGCAGGTTTTCAAGGGTGAGTTGCACGGATCAGCATTCCAACGACATTCCAAGGGCCATGCAACCTCCATGGGTTGCCTTAAGAGATGTCACTTGCTCCTGCGTGCACGTTCGAGGACATGCTGCTGGGGAACGAGCTCTTCCAAACACATGATGGATTCTATTCGGATTCGGTCGTACTCGGAATCCTCTTCCCGTTCGAATTCTATTTCGTCCCTGACCGAATTATCCATGTGATTCCTTCAATTGGCGCTCTTGAGGGGCCCTATTGGAACCCCATTGCAATCCTATGGGAATCCAATACAACCCCACGGGCATCCCATTGGAATCCCAATCGGATCCGATAGGTTTCTTTCCCATTGGCACTGTTTTGGGTTCCCGTTGGATCCTATGGGGATCCAACCGGATTATTTCCTATTGGGATCTTATCGGAATCGGTTGAAACCCTATTGGAATCCAATGCGACGCCTCCCTGTTGAAATCATATAATGTTCTTATTTGACTCCACTCTGGCCCTTCGTGGCTTCGCCTTATGGATGTCAGCGAATTCTTGGGACATGCGTGGAAGCGCTCACCGTGGAGCCGACCTTGTGCGAATCTTCATCGGGATCCAACTTGTGCACAGTGTTCCTCAAGCTTCTTCGGTATTCCTGAGGATTCCTCAGGGTGTTACTCTTAGTGTATTCTTATTGTGCTTGTGTTCCAATTCCATAGTACTTTTATTGCTGTCCTATTCTTTGAAAGAGCGTGTTCTACCGCTGCTGGCGGAAAACCGAGGGGGGGGGTCACGGGGTTCCCAACCCGTCCCCCCCCCCCCATTCGAAAACCGGGGGGGGGGGGATCACTACCGGTTCGAAACCCTCCCCCCCTCCCTTCCCAGTCCATCATGAAAAGGAGGGGGGTCACTACAAGTTCGACCCCCCCCCCCTCCCTCGAAAACCGGGCGGGGGCCATTACCGGTTCGAACCCCCCCCCCTCGAAAACCAGGGGGGTCACTACCGGTTCGAACCCCTCCCCCCCCCCCTCGCCGCCGGCAAACGATTCCCGCTCCTCGGAACAGTTGGACAATGGTGGGTACGCTGGGACAGTGGTGGGAACGGTGGTGGTGGGGACAGTGGCGCGGGGACAGTGGGACAGTGGTGCGGACAGTGGTGGGGACGATGGTGGTGTGGACAGTGGTGAGGGGACAGCGGGACAGTGGTGGGGACAGTGGGACTGTGGTGGGGACGGTAGTGGTGGGGACAGTGGTGAAGGCGGTGGTGAGGACAGTGGTGGGACAGTAGTACAGTGGGGAAAGTGGTGGGGACAGTGGGGACAGTAGGACAGTGATGGGGACAGTGGGGACGGTGGGACAGCACAGTGGGACAGCGGCGTGGACAGTGGGACAGTGGTGGGTGCAGTGGGGACAGTGGGACAGTGGTGGGGACCGTGGGGAAAGTGGGACCGTGGTGGGACAATGGTGGGGAGAGTAGGGACAGTGAGACACTGGTGGAGGCACTGGTTGGGACAGCGGGGACAATGGTGGGAACAGTTGGGACAGTGGAACAGTGATGGGGACGGTGGTGGTGGGGACAGTCGTGTGGGGACTGGGAATGTTGTGGAAACAGTGGGACAGTGGAGGGTACAGTGGTGGTGGGGACAGTGGTGAGGGCGGTGACGAGGACGGCGGTGGGATAATGGGACAGAGGTGCAGGGGGGACTGGTGGGGACAATGGGGACAGTGGTGGGAACAGTGGGACAGCTCAGTGGGACAGCGGCGGGGACAGTGGGACAGTGGGGACAGTGGGACAGTGGTTAGTGGTTGGGGCCGTGGAGAAAGTAGTGGGGAGAGAGGAACCGTGGTGGGATCAGTGGTGGGGACAGTGGGGACAGTGCGACCAGTGGTGGGGGCACTGGTGGGGACAGTGGGGACGGTGGTGGGAACAGTGGGGATAATGGTGGTGAGGACAGTGGTGCTGGGGACAGCAGTGGGGGATGTGGTCCGGAGGCTGGTAGGGACCCGGGAGTCGTTTGCTGGCGGTGAGCGTGGGGGGGGGGAGGGAATGTGGAGGGGTTCGAACCGGTAGTGACCCCTCCCGGTTTTCGAGGGGGGGGAGGGGGAAGGGGTTTGAACCTGTAGTGACCCCCGCCGGTATTCGAGGGGGGGGGAAGGGGTTCGAACCGGTAGTGACCCCCCCCGGTTTTCTGGAGGGGGGCGGCAGGGGTTCGAACCGGCAGTGACCCCCCTCTGGTTTTCTGGCGGGGGGGGGTTCGAACGGGTGGAGAGGGGCTCGAAACGGTAGTGACCCCCCCGGCTTTTTTGGAGGGGGGGGGGGTTTGAACTTGTAGTGACCCCTCCCGGTTTTCCTGAAGGGGGGGGGGGGGGTCGGGGAGGGCGGGGGTTTTGCCGGGGGGAAGGGGGGGGTTCCAGCAGGGGGGGACCCCCGGGTTCTGGAAGAAGAGGGGGGGAATTTTCCACAGTACAGCGAAGGTGGATCACGCTCTCTCTACCCTTTTTATCCATCTTGTTTTCCTATTGGACGGCGTTCCTAATGTTCCCAACCCTCCTGCGTTGGGTACTCGTTTTGAATGGAGCGCTGCGGTCGCACACCTTCCTTCCTTTTCGCCCCCTCTCCCCTTCTCTCCCGCCTCTCGCCTCGCTCTTTCCTGCGTGCAAGCTTGCCTCGCACTGGGCCATCCTTGTCGGGCTGCGATATGCGAAACTGTCGCCCCTTTCGAGGGCTGCTGGGAAGCCCAGCGGAGTGACGTGCTACGCATATTCAGATCACACCTCGCCATCCCTGTGGGGCTGCGATCCGGGAAACGGTTGCCACTTTCGAGGGCTGCTGTGGGGTCCAGCGGACTGACGTGCTACGCAGATTCGGATTAGACCTCGCCATCCCCGTGGGGCTGCGATCTGCGAAATTGTTGCCACTTTCTCGAGGGCTGTTGAGGGGGCCCAGCGGAGTGACGTGTTACGCAGATTCAGATTAGACCTCGCCATCCCTGTGGATCTGCGGTCTGCGAAACCGTCGCCACTTTCGAGGGCTGATGGGGGTCCAGCGGAGTGACGTGCTTCGCAGATTCAGATTAGACCTCGCCATCCCTGTGGGGCTGCGATCCTGGAGACGGCTGCCACTTTCGAGGGCTGCTGTGTGGTCCAGCGGAGTGACGTGCTCTGCGGATTCGCAGATTCCGACTACATCTCGCCATCTAGTGGGGCTGCGATCCACGCATCTGTCGCCATATTCGAGAGTTGCTGGGGAGTCCAGCGGACTGATGTGCTACGCATATTCAGATTCGACCTCGCCATCCCTGTGGGGCTGCGATCCGCAAAACTGTCGCCAGTTTCGAGGGCTGTTGTGGGGACTCAGCGGAGTGACGTGCTACGCAGGTTCAGATCCGACCTCACCATCCTTGTGGGTCTGCGATCTGCGACACTGTTGCCACTTTCGAGGGCTGCTGCGGGGTCTAGCGGAGCGACGTGTTACGCAGATTCAGACTCGACCTCGCCATCCCTGTGGGGCTGCGGTCTGCGAATCTGTCGCCTTTTCCGAGGGCTGATGGGAGTGACGTGCTACGTAGATTCGGACCAGACCTCGCCATCTCTGTGGGGCTGCGATCTGCAAAACCGTCGCCACTTTCGGGGGCTGCTGTGGGGTCCAACGGGGTGACGTGCTCTGCAGATTCATACTTAACCTCGCCATCCCTGTGGGGCTGCGATCCACGAAACTGTCGCCATATTCGAGAGCTGCTGGGGGCTCCAGCGGAGTAGCGTCACACCCTGATGCAGATTAGACCTCGCCATCCCTGTGGGGCTGCGATCCGCGAAACTGTCACCAATTTCGAGAGCTTCTGTGGGGACTCAGCGGAGTGACGTGCTACGCAGATTCAGATCCGACCTCACCATCCCTGTGGGTCTGCGATCTGCGACACTGTTGCCACTTTCGAGGGCTGCTGCGGGGTCTAGCGGAATGACGGGTCACGCAGATTCAGATTCGACCTCGCCATCCCTGTGGGGCCGCGGTGTGCGAATCTGTCGCCTTTTCCGAGCGCTGATGGGGAGTGACGTGCTACGTAGATTCGGACCAGACCTCGCCATCTCTGTGGGGCTACGGTCTGGAACTAATCGCCACTTTCGAGAGCAGCTGGGGGCTCCAGCGGAGTAACGTCACACCCTGATGCAGATTAGACCTCGCCATCTCTGTGAGGCTGCGGCCTGCGAGTGTGTCGCCACGTTCGAGAGCTGCTGGTGCTTTATTTTTGGTGCAAACAGAACATGCTTTTACGAATTGCTTCCCGGACCTGCACATTCTTTCCTTCATTCTTTCCTTCATC